AACGTAAATGATGATCTACCAGTAGTCATCATAGGACCTAGATGTCAAAGCTCACACAGCACACTAGCATAAGCACAGAGCAGATTGGCAAAAGTACCAATTTAATAATTTATGGAGATTCACCTTAGAAATTAGAGGAAAAGGCAAGCAAGCAGTTGGTTAAAGATTCATTCCAAAACTTGAAGAGTCAACTCTGGAACTGCTGCAAAAACCAAGCAAGCAGTGATTTTAAAGTCAACGTGGGATATCGTCTGAATGCCTCAAATTACTCGTCAAAGGTCATGTCCACACAGTAGTAAGAACTTTGTTAGAATGCAAGAACCGACTCATACACAAAAGAGCTATATTCATTGGACTCGCAAAGACTGTCAGACTGGTACTCCATTTAACATGGTTAAGGCAAGGACACAAGGCAGGTGAAAAATCCAAGAAATATAGCTAACAAGTTACGAGACCATCTCAATTTATTTTGTTTGAGAAGTCACTGATGAATAACAGAACAATGATTTGAATAATGTTAAGGACACAGAAGGTTAATGAAGAATATATGAATTATGAACCACAATCAAGAACAAGAGCCCTAAATTCACCACAAATTGCGAAATGTTTCAGAAAGTAACAAGTACAGAGTGATTACAGACCTTAAAAATAGAAGCCCAGTAGTAATCATAACGGCAACGAAATTTTCTTCTTTCAGATGGGTAAAAAACTCGCTTGGCCTTATAATTTAGTAGCCCAAGTTCACATATTTTTTGATGATCTCAAGTCAACACCTGCAAAAATAATTTAACACATCAACCTGCTCACACATTCAAAGATAAATGCAAACACATAGTACATCAGATTTATTTATTTAAATTTATTACCTCAACCACATGTCTTAACAAAGCATTTCACTTTCCAGAGATTTTATAAACATAGTTAACAGCTGTACAGCTCAGACACAACATTTCCGCTAACACATTCTGTTTCCCCCATCTCTAATGTTACTAGTTTACTCCTAGTTCCATTTCACTTTATTTTCTCAAAGCATAAATATTATGAAAGATGGGTTCCCTTGAGCAGCCCTGAAGATTTGCTAAAGAGGTTTATCGACCTGCTGTAGAATGGCCAATTAGCAATGCACTTTGAGCTTTGATATCTCTCTCTTTCTCTCTAAAAAGCAATGCACTTCATAATACTTACAGTTCATATCAAGCATAAAAGTTACTCTTACTACTGGTACGACATAAGTTCAAACTAGACTGACTGTACTATTAAGTATAAAATTTTACAATAGCTAATCAATTATTATGAGAGAAACCTCAAGACAATTATCAATTACATTCCAAATTCTTGGCAGGTGTAAAGCACACACTACAACCAGGATGGCACCAGACCAAGCAACGCAATACTCCACAGTAGCAATGGATGTGAGTTATTTGCCAATATTTAAGCATGTAAACACCCCCGAATCCCAACTCACCCTCTAACAGATCATCATACAACAACCAACAAGGAACAATCACAGAGAGAAAAATCCAGTATGATCCCGATTCCACCTCATCAACCTTTAATTTCACACACATAATCTTCAGATTTTCAGTAATGCAAAATTTACTCAAATTAGATTTTTTTTAAACAGAAAACTCTTGAGCTTATATTGACTAGTTAGCCCTGAATTTCGACCTTCAGCCAGTTCACCTAAATTGGACTTTTTACGAACAAACTTGTCCAATAATTAACTTATTTACTCGTATATATCTTATCCGAACTTATCGGCCCTGAAATGAACTCTGTCCACTTATTTAAGCCTGAAACTCCATTACAATGTGAATAGAATATGGCCTTAACTTCCAATAAACACCAACACCACCACAATCGAAAAAATCCTGCCAATTCGAAACACCACAACAACTAGAATCCAGCAACTCATAATTTCAAAAAACATAGTCAAGCCTAAATTCAGCAATTTCACCATCAATCCAAATTCTAACTAGTAGTATACATCTATATTACGGAAATTTCAAACATGAGGATTAATTATACACATAATTAACATACTAATTCAAGCTAAAATCACTGAAACTTCAGATTTCAGCAAATCACTAGCAATCCAAAGATATACACTAACCTAACTTAACCTATATCACAGAAATTAAGAATTGCACAAATTCATACACAAATTCAAGCTAAAATCACAGAAACAAACATCATGAAAGACCAAAATTAGAGAAAAAAGAAGAGGGGGGAAAGTTTGAACTTACTGGTGGAAACGATTTTGCATTGAGAAGGAACAGAAATAGGAGGAGGAATTGAGAAATTGGAGAAGAGTAAAGCGAAGAAGCCGAAAGTATAGGAGAGAGAAATTATGCAGATGAGCATAAACCCTAAGGTTAATGAACACCGTAGTAGTACCATATCATTTGATTCCTTCGCTCTCGATTCATTTGATGATGTTGATTGTGATTCAGATGATGGTGTTGATGATGATGATGATGTTAATGGTGATTCAGATGATGGTGTTGATGTTGATGTTGATGTTGATGATGATGATGATGGTGATGGTGATGGTGAATCAGAGGATGATGATGATGATGAAGGTGAATCCATTAATTGGAGAATCTTGGTTGGTCTGAGTGGTGTTAAAAGGGAAAACATTCAACAAATGCTGCAGATTTTACTACTGCTAACTTACACTAGTACACAACTATGCTACGTGCTGACACCTAAAAATGTCTCCCCAAAATCAAATACGATGATAAACAACTTTTTACCGCAATTATTGGTCGGATTAAGTATTTAATATCGAGAGTACTTAAAATCCATGTTCAGTCAAACATATTCAACAAATCAGTCAAACTATTTATTCAAACTCAGTCTAACTCATATCCTAGCCCAAACCCTTTTAATTCATTTCGTGTTATTTATTAATTAAGCTCGATTAATAAATAATAAAAACCCTAAGCCTGAAATAATCCGGAATAGCTGAAACGGCACATAATATATCACGTACTTAATTATTAAGCTAAGGCATAAATGAATCTGGACTGTTTTAAGGAAAACATGTGCACCGTGCCACGGCAGACACACCGCGTCACGGTATTCCGCGCCGTGTCGCTGCACACATGCCGTGACGCGGCATTTTTCTAAGGTTTCTCTGCGACGCCTTTTCATTTATAGGGTTTTGTGCTTCAACCTATTCATTTCCTCCATAAATACGAACTTGATTTCCTCAGTTTTTAGGCATCAAAAATCATTCTCTTTCTCCCTACACCAACAATTATTCTCTTCTCTCTTTCGCCTAAACACTGGCCACCCTATTCTCTCATAATACTTCCCCTAAGCACTACAAGGAGTCCATACTTGACCCAAAATTCTATACTAATTAAACCAAGGTGTGAAAGGTAGAATTAACTGAGGGTTTGGACCAAATCAACTCTACTTTTCATTTAATTTAATTTCAATTCGATTTATTATTTGTTGAAGTTACTAACAGTTTATTCATAATGTAGCAATTTAAAGAAACACGGAACATGAGTAGTTAATTCACTTAATTACTCTTTTTATTATTCTTGTTGCTAATATCATGATTAGGCTTATTATTATGCTTTGATTTGACTAACGTTATTATTGTTAAATTGCTTCCAATATTGATGTTTATTCTATTATATTTATTGATCACCGTATTGCATGTTTAAAGGGAATATGTAAGTAAATATCACGCCTAATGAGATAATTTGACGACCGGTTTAGGTTCATTTTTAATCTTGTTGTTAATTGAAGTGATCACAATATTATAGAATTATATGTTGCATTAACATTAAACCAATTTAGCTTAATATTAGTTTGGAGCAAATTGAATCTTTGTTTGCATGCCTTTGAGATCGTAGGAATCACATTTCACAAAAAGAATCGAGTAGGGTCTAATACGGGTGAATGTGACTCCATGATTCACTTTGTACCATCATCTCCGATCCTCCTTTCGTGGTTCTGAACCATATGGAGTTAGTATTCTCATGGATTATGAATGGTGTGTAACCTTCACGGTTCAATCGTTGTTGCCTTTCGTTGTCCCTTAATCGTGGTTGCCTTAAATGATCCGTGAACGGTTTACAAGTTCCTTAAAAACTTGTTGGCGGCTCCCTACTTTTCTTGTCCCTAATCGTGTCCTTGATCGTATGTCAATTCCCACTTCCTATGAGTGTCAAACATATTCACAACATGCTTAACGTAGGCGCGCTTTGAACGACGCCTACAATATGCAAAAATGATTTTGGCGCACCAGAAAATTATTTTGGCACACTTATATATTGCGAAAAGCACGATTTTTTATGCTCCTCTCACGTGAAAGTGTATCCGTGTATGCTCTATGGGGTCCTATTGATTCTACTCAATAACTAACAACTTTATGGATTTTTTCTCAAAAAACTGTCTTGATTGGCTAATAATGTAACATGTCTTGTTTCCGTTAGTTGTACTAAAAAAATTAATCCTCCACCACTCTAAACAACCACCCCTGCCCTGATCCCTCTAGGCTCCGTTCTCTTCAATTTACAACAATAGTTCATTTATATTAAAATAATTGATATAGCCAAATTTAGCACACATAAAATTTAATGTATGGTTTCTGTTGTTAATTGGTTTTTATAAGAAACCTCACTTTTGACTTTTTATTATTCAAGCCTAGATTTACTTTCGAACAAGTTTTGAATCCGTCAATTCAAACAGTTATAACCTACTTACCTACACGACTAAAGCAACTTATAATGACGAGATGATGTCAACTACTTTTTAATTAAGTTTAATTAGTTGAATTTGGATAGTTGATATAGAGATGCTAAACAATATAATAATTTTAGATTACAGTTAGTAGTGAAGCCCACGTATAATGTAATCTAATATCGCTGACTAGTTAGAGCTAGCTAAGGAGATCCTTAATTATATAATTGTGTTCATATAATTTAAAATGTCTAATTAATAACTTGCGTTAGTATTACCACTACGAGAGAGATCGAGAACAAGGAAGACATTTAGAGAGAAAATGGGACGTGAAATGATTATGAGATCATCAGCAAACCTTGGAAGTTTCAATTGTCTTTTGGTGGTGGTTTTAACGACGACAATCGTGATGAGTTCAATGATTGTGGATGGCTACTACGGATACAATGACTACAATGCACCGCCTAGTGCACCGCCGGGTGCACCAGTATACAAGCCATCGACGGATTGGATTTACGCTCATGCTACATTTTATGGGGATGAATCTGTCTCTGAGACAATGGGTTAGCTTTGCTTCTTATTTGATATAATACAACTCTAGTTAATTTCTTTGAGCTAGTTTAAAGTAAATAGATTAAATACCTTTTCAATAATATTGTTGTTTAATTTACAGATCGAGTGGAGTCATGTTTATGCTCTTGAAGAAGTTATATATGGTCAATATTTAGTACATGCAATTTCACATATGAAATAAAAGCAAATTATTGTACTCCGTAATACGAATGAATTGTCATGATCAATACCATCGAGAAAAAGGCAATGAAATACTACGTACTCCGTACTATATTAACAAGCTAAGGTGTTATTAGGTTAGAGGTATGCATAATTAACATTTTAGGTCATTGATGATAACATACGTATCAATCAACAAAAATAACCTTCGGCTATAGTTGATGCTTTTTTTTTCAAGGTAAATATAGCTAGCTAGTGATTGATCTTTTTACTTAATTTTTCTAGCTTAAATGAATAATTGATTTAAATTGTTAAATTATTAAAAATAGGAGGGGCTTGTGGATACGGAAACTTACATGACAACGGATATGGAATAGCAACAGCGGCAGTTAGCTCGGTTATGTTCAATAATGGAGAAATTTGTGGAGCTTGTTATGAAATCAAGTGTGTCGAGTCAAAGTGGTGCTACAAAGATGGACCTATCATTAAGATTACGGCCACCAACCTCTGCCCTCCAAACTGGTACCAGTCCGCCGATGATGGGGGGTGGTGCAACCCACCTCGCTCCCATTTCGATTTGTCTAAGCTCATGTTCATGAAGATTGCTGAATGGACAGCCGGCATTGTTCCAGTCCAATATAGAAGGTACGTACAAACTTTGTCAAAAGTTTTGACTACGTGTAATAAGGTAATTTGTACACGTACGAAAGACCTGATATCAAATCCAGACTGTATGTTCGTTACTAGTCTAATATTGTTCGTTTTTACAGGGTGCCGTGTATTAGGCAAGGAGGGATTAGGTATCAATTCCAAGGGAACCCATATTGGCTACTAGTGTACGTGATGAACGTAGGAGGAAGTGGAGATGTAGAGAAAATGTGGGTAAAAGGGTCTAAAAGCATTGAATGGATTTGCATGACTCGGAATTGGGGAGCTTCTTTCCAAGTATTTTCAGAGTTGGGAGGTCAATCTCTCTCTTTCAAGGTCAAGAATGGAGCTGGCCATACTCTTGTGGATTACGACGTGGCCCCATCTTATTGGTCTACAAGCCAAACTTATGAAGGAAGAATCAACTTTTATTAATTAACCAACAAAATTAAACGACTATTACATGATCATTTGAGGTCACCAAGCTATTTAAAATTCTAAACAGTTATATAACGATACTGTTATTTGTTGCATGTTTTCTTTCCTTCAAATGCAATCAAACTAATAAGTGTAATGCTAAGTGTTACAATACTGGAGGAGGATCTATTTTGGGTTTGTAATCATATTCATGATGAAAATGATATTGAGAACTTGTAAAGGACGCGTATCTATTGAAGTTTATAGTATTTCCAAACAACACGTATAAGTGTCTATATTGATAATATATGAGAGAGTTAAATACATTATAAGGTTAGGAGTTTATTAGTTCTCCAATCTTATCCTATTATCATATGGTTTTGGGATGAAACTTCTTTCGATTTGTAAAATACATCCATTTTTTGGTGACGGGGCGACCCAAACTCGTATTTAATAGTATCTGATAGCGTAGAAAACTTACTCGTATTCCTGAGTTTAATTTGAGATGATCATTTAACATGGTATTAGAGCTAACTTGACACAAAAATCACCGGTTCAAATCCCATTCACACCCTTCTTTGATTTCAGAGTAGAATTTATTTCGCACTGAGTATGAGGAGGTCCAAGCCTCTACATTTCAAGCCCAACGAGCTTTCATGTGAGAGAACGTGAGAATATAGAGTATAAAGCATATTCATAGGCTTCAACCATTAATTAAGTTAAGCTTTTGGTTGAGAAAACTTAGTACTTCGTAGTATTCTTAACTTAAAAGTGATGAAAGATGTGTTTAATCTTTTTATTGATTTTGTTAATATAGACAATTATAGGTATTAATGATTAAAGTTATGGGTGTCAATCAAATTGATACACAGAGGGAGCGAGTATGATTTTGATGTAAAAGGAGTGAGAGACTTTAATTTGATCAATTTCATGATGTTGGTGGGATTTGATTCCATTATTGTACCACCTCTTAAGACTTTTACTCCGTGTTTAACTAACTAAGTTTTCTGATGAATACATCCACACACTAATTATATTATACATAGTGCTGGTACTTTATTCGTATAAGTAGTTGAATTAGCAATTTGTATACGTCTTCAAACAGTTAATATATATGACCTCCCAGCACGACGCAAAGAGTTGAGGTCGGTCGCTATCCATAGGACTGTTGCCGGCCGATTGATTGATAATTTCCACAAAATCTACATTTTAGACGGCTAAATTATACCTTCTCAACTGCATTGATATATGAATGGTTAATCGAATTTAGTGGGATTCATATATATTTCATAAAGGGATTAAACTAATTATCTAGTTGCGTCTATTATATAAATTATATTATATAAGTCATTAACCTTTTGTCAACTTTGCCATTGTTATTAAATATAATATTTTGAAATAGAAGAATGTACAAAAAAAAAAAAAAAAAATTGTAGTTGTTTTTAATACAGTAGCTAGTTTGTTATGGTATTTTTAACGGTTTTAAGTCTTAACAAATTTTAAATTAAAGAAATTTATCGTTTTTTAAGTACTAATACGAGGAATTACGTAATAATAGTGTCATATACAAAATTTTTCTTAGAGGACTTAGACTTCATAAGTATATTACTTTTAATAAATATAAAGACACGTGTAATTTTGTCTTGACTAGCCAAAAAAAAAAAGTATTATTCCAAGTTGTGAAGCTCACGTATAATGTATAAGCTTGTCGACCATTAAGAGTTAAGGAGCTCCCTATATATAAGGTTTATGAAGTTTGACATTTATTACTAACGATTTGTATAAGTGTAGCAAAAGAAAAACAAAAAAAAAAAAAAATGGGTCGTCAGATAAATTTCATGGTGGTGGTGGTGGTGGTGGTAGCAACCATGACGGTGAGATCGACAATGGCGGGTTACAGTGCGTACACACCATCGACCTCCTACACGCCGTCGACCTCCTATTCACCACCAGAAACATGGCAATCAGGGCATGCTACGTTTTATGGGGATGAAAGTGGTTCTGAGACTATGGGTTAGTTTTATTTCATTCCTCGACTAATTTAAATTAGCTATGGATTTTCCTTATAGCTAAAATGCTAACGTGTGTTACAAATGCAATTAAATGTTAGTTCATTGAGGATTTATCTATAATGTCTGCCAAAAACATAATACACACATGCATACACGTTAGAGGTTGTGGCAGTAAAGTAGTGGTATCGCTCCCCACCTCATATTTTGTGGGAATCTTATGATATAGATGCTAGTAGCAACATTTACAAATTTTACAATTTTTATAAAACGGGAAAATATTTGTTTATTCACGGATTCACCTACATGCTTCTATGAATAAAAAGGCCAAGAGCTAATATGTTGGTGTATTAGAGCAATATGTAATCTTGATTAATATATATATTTTAGAGAAAATAAAATTGAGTAAAATATGGTGATAAACAGGAGGAGCGTGTGGGTACGGAAACTTGCATGATAGCGGCTACGGATTTGAAACGGCAGCACTTAGCACGGTGATGTTCAACAATGGTAACGCTTGTGGTACGTGTTATGAAATCAAGTGTGTCAATTCAAAATGGTGCTTTACCGATGCGCCTTCGATTAAGATCACGGCCACCAACCTCTGCCCTCCTAACTGGTACCAGGCCAACGATGCCGGCGGGTGGTGCAACCCACCTCTCTCCCATTTTGACTTGTCTAAACCCATGTTCATGAAGATTGCTGAATGGACTGCTGGCATTATTCCCGTCAGCTATAGAAAGTATGTACTCGATCAATTCCTCCATTTCATTATATCATCATCAAAAGTTTTTAAAATATAGAAACAAATTCTAACATCAATTCAAATTAATCTGCACCATTATTCAATTCTTTGGCCAATGAACAACCCTACATATAACAAATTACAAATTAATGTGTCAGCTTGCATATTAAAAAACTTACATACTCCAAAACATGAGATTGATTCCAGATATGTTCATGAGGTCTACTAATAATAATCAGTGTATCATATATATGTACTTACGTATTTCAGTTAAGACATGAGACTAAATCCAAATATATATTATATTCATGAGGTCTACTAATAATAATCAGTGTAATTAACATATATATGTACTTATGTACTTCAGTTAAGACATGAGACTGAATCCAGATATATATTATATTCATGAGGTCTACTTAAAATAGTCAGTGTAATTAACATATATATGTATTTACGTACTTCAGTTAAGACATGAGATTATATATATATTCATGCGGTCTACTAATAATTAATCGGCGTAATATATATATATATATGCAGGGTGTCATGTGCAAGGACAGGAGGGATTAGATTTCAATTCCAAGGGAATCCATATTGGCTCCTAGTGTCTGTGTTGAACGTAGGAGGAGATGGAGATATATCCCAAATGTGGGTGAAAGGTACTGAAACTGATTGGGTTTTCATGAGCCGTAATTGGGGAGCATCATTCCAAGCATTCTCCAAATTAGGAGGCCAATCTCTTTCTTTCAAGCTACAAAATGCAGCTGGACAAATTGTTATAGCTTATAATGTTTGCCCTATTTATTGGTCTATTGGGCTAACTTACGAAGCCAATACCAACTTTTATTAACTAATTACCTAACCTAACCAGAAAAATAATGATCGATGATTTAGGACCGTCACATTATTTACGGCTGGTAGTCTTAGAGAATTGTTCAATTATGGAATTGTAGCAATTGTTAATTATTATTGCTTGTTACATATGTAGCATTCTTTAATTTCTCTATATAATTGAAGAAGGTCGGCTACTCATTATGTCCTTGCGTGTTTTTAATGAATCCAAACATTTAGCACTTTTTTCATGGTTATAACACTACTGAATAAGGTTAGCAAGGCTCTTGCATTCAGCCTAAAGAGAATGGACTAACAAAGTTCTCATGACAACTTAAGTATGTCCAATAGACAATAGTCAATGCTTATAAAAAGTCTTACATAATTCATACAAAGTATATATTAAGTTATTAACCAAATGGAGATCTCAAGGTCTTGCACAGTATCCACCAAGAAAGACCAATACTATTATGCAATCAAGTTAACTTAGACATTGAAGAGGTTTTCCACATAATCAGCCCCTAAGCCATCTTATGCGTGTTAGTGATCATATGTATTTTGAGTTTTGACATTAAACACAATCTTATCAAGGATTTTCATTATCCTTAGACTCCTTACTAATACTTACTTCGTAATTCTCATAAAGTTTATTATTTAATACTCAACACTACTAGAAAATAAACTATTTTCGACAGAAATTTTCCGTTGAAAACACCCTCGGAAACAGTTGTCGCAAAAGAATTTGTAGGAAAAATGACATTTTCCGACGGAATTCAGATGTTGGAAGAGAATTTCCAGCCCGGAAAAGTCCGTCGGTAATTTCCGACGAATACTGTTCCGTCAGAAAATTCCGACGGAATTTTCATCGGAAAAGTCAATAAAAAAAACAGCCCCACCCCTAAACCGTACCCCCCTCCCCTCCTAAGCCACCATCAAAATTCACCCCACCAACACCGCAATTCACCCACCACCGCCGCCTAAATTCACCCCATCACTATCAAAACCCCCCACCATCACCCAGATCCACCACCAAAACCCGTAACCCATAGCCGAAACCACCCCAACCAAACCCCCACCCACACCAAACCGAAACCACTACCACCAGAATTTAACCAAAAAGAACAAAATTTTCCAAACAAAAAGTAAATTAGCAACTATAATTAGCAAACAAAAATAAACGAAAATTATCATAAAAAAACAACGAAAATTACCCAAAACAATTTAAAGAAATATATAAATATACAATTATTTAGCAAAAATTATACATTAACATTACAATGACATCAATAATTAACTAAAATTAGAATTTAAAAGGAAAAAAAAAAAAGCTAGATCTACCATCTAACCTAAATTAAAACAAGATCTACAATACGGTGGTGTTGTTGCGACGGTGGCTTTTGTTGCGCCATTGTTGTGCGGTGTTGGTGTTGGTGTTGTTTTTAACGCTAGTGGTTGTTGTTGATGTCGGTGTTGGCGTTGACGTTGGTGGTTCTTATTGTTGTTGTTGCGGTGTCATTAGTCATGGTTTGAGATAGGAGGAAGAGAAAGAGGGGAAAGTACAGGTGAGAAGGAAGAGGCGAGAAGAAACAGGCGGTGTTGGTAGTTGATATTGTTCCGGTGGTTAGAAAGAGGAGAGAAGGAGAAGATGCGGAAGAGAAGAAGGGAAAGAGAAGGAGATAAGGAGAGAGAAAGAAAAAGGGGAAAAACAGAAAGAAAGAAGCGGAAAGTGTAAGGGGGGCTGGGAGCTGTTGCATTAGGGTTTGTGGTTTTAAAGAGTTTTTTTTTTCGTTTTAAATAAGATTCCGACGGAATTTAAATCCGTCGGAAATAATAATTTACGACGGAAAAATTAGTCGGAATGTATATATATTCCGACGGATGTTTATTCTGTCGGTAATTTGTGACGGATTTCTGACGGAACTGTTGAATTCGTCGGAATTTTCGATTTTTTCAACGGAATTCCGTGTCCGTCGGAACCCGTCCGTCGAAAATAGGCTATTTTCTTGTAGTGTAAACCATATGGCAATTAAAAGAAAGAAACTCAATCATATGAGATTGACGGTTGTAGAGTATATACGAAGTACCATATATACCATATAAATTTGTAACCTTTCTTTTTAGTTTTTACACACACATGTACGAAATACTGCGTTTGCGGTACTAATTTTAAATTTTGGTCACAAAAGTAGCTATTGTGCAAGGCACATACGAAGTAATACTTACTGATCTGATTTCATTATCCATGACAAATAATAATGTGTACTCAACTTGAACTTGATCCAAAAATGTCAATTTGATTTTGAACACAATGCTATGTGACTCGTGGCTTGAAAATGCTCTAATGGAGCACATTCAAACCTGAAACTATGATCGGCTAAAATACGTACAAATCCTAGAAGAGGCTACGTTCTATTCACTTATATAAGTTAATTTGAACCTACTGAAAATTTTAGTGCCCGTTTGGTTGGACCATTCCACCCATTTAAAATTTACATTTTAAGATTTACATTTTAGTGCCCGTTTGGTTGGACCATTCCACCCATCATTAAGAATGTGTTAAAATTGAACAAGAGTCCATTCCACCCATTTTATCTTATTTGGTTAGACTTTTTAGTGAAAAAACCTCGGGTTTCTAACTCCGTCCACTTCATGCCACTCGGATCTTATATCCACTTCACCATTTAAGATTTACATTTCATTCCATCATAAATAGATCTAAAAATCATTCCAAAATTAAATTAAACAACTTTAAAATATATAGTATGGGATTTTAATCGTCTATACCTCCCTAATATGAGATTTTATATACCAATTCATTCCAGTTTAGTGACCTATATGACCCCTTAAACTTTTAAGAATTTATTACACTTGCAAATTGATTTTTTTTTTTTTTTTTTTTTTTGACAATTTGCAAATTGAACTTGAATAATTTTTTTTTTACAATTTGCAAATAACATGGCCTAAGTAGACTTTAGTGGGGGCTCATAATGGGATTGAATAATTACCGAATTTTATATATATCTACTTTTTGTCGACTTTGACATTAAAGAAATTCTCTAACAAGTAACAAAGGTGCAAATCAAGCAAATTGAAGTAGAATAATGTGAATTAATAAAGTAGTAGCTGAAAATAATAAGCAGCTAAAATTAATAAGGTGATTGATTATTACCTCAATTGTTTGATAAAACTGATTTTTAAAATTTGATGAAATTCCTTTAATTACTTTTTTGAACTTAAACTGAGATGATAATGTAGATTGTTAAATAAAAAATCTTTAGCATCTTTTTTAATAATATAGTGTCTGAAATGTGTTCTCAAACATATACTGTTGTAATTGTTGTATGTGAGACATTGAACTTTTCTAATAAAAAGTTATTAAAGCCTTGTATATAGTTGTATGTAATAAGTTATAATGAGATTAATGTCAATATATATACTAGATTATTCCTAAACCTTAAGTACATGTATATATATAACCTCTAATGAAATATTAAGATACAACGTGTAAATTTGTCTGGACTAGCGAATGAAAGAAATAGTATTATTCCAAGTTGTGAAGCTCACGTAGAATGCATAAACTTGTCGACCAATTGGAGCTTAGGAGCTTCTTATATATGTTTGTTCATGGACTTTGACATTTATAACAAACAATTTACAAAAACAAAAAAAAAAATGGGTCGTGAGAAGTTGATGAGAGTAAATCTTGAAAGCTTCAATCTCATGGTGGTGGTGGTGGTGGTATTAGTGACGATGACTACAAGATTAGCCGTCGTAGATGGATCCTATGGACGGTCCTATGACCGCCATGGCCGGTCCTATGACCACAATAAACATAGATGGTACACGCCATCGACCTCCTACACGCCGTCAACCTCCGACACGCCATCAACCTCCTACACGACGTGGGCTAATGACATGCCATCGGCCTCCGACACTCCATCGACCTCCTACACGCCATGGACCTCAGACGCACCGTCAGCCTCCTACACACCGTGGACGGACACACCTTCGACATCTGATATTCCCTCAACCTCTGACGTCATGCCATCAACTTCCTTCTCGTCATCGTCAACGTGGCAATCAGCCCATGCTACGTTTTATGGGGATGAAACTGCTTCCGAGACCATGGGTTAGTTTTACTTCGATGTATTATACGTAGTATATGCTTTCATATTATATCTTTGTATAACTATTAGGAAGATTTTTCAATGACTACGTATACAAAACTTGTAGTCATTGTAATTTGATCATAGCAACAAGGCATGTATGTATGAAACTTGACCAAAACACTTGAGTAAAAATAATTATATACATCTGAGTGCATGGTACACTTAACGGTAATTTTTGCTCATTTGATGATTAAAGGAGCAATAATCATCAAAATGACCAAATAATACCCTTGAATGTACCGTGCACCCGGGTATATATAACAATCTCTCAATATATTGTTGTAATAAATTACGTATCAATCTTCATATACGTAGTAGTATATTTTTGGAGGATAAAAAAAATAACTAAATTTGGTGATGAACAGGAGGGGCGTGTGGATACGGAAACTTGCATGATAGCGGGTACGGATTTGAAACAGCAGCGCTTAGCACGGTGATGTTCAACAATGGGAAAGCTTGTGGGGCTTGTTACGAAATCAAATGTGTCGAGTCAAAATGGTGCTTCGCCAACGCACCTTCCATTAAGATCACGGCAACCAACCTCTGCCCTCCTAACTGGTACCAGGCCAGCGATGCCGGTGGGTGGTGCAACCCACCTCGCTCCCATTTCGACTTGTCTAAGCCCATGTTCATGAAGATTGCCGAATGGACTGCCGGCATTGTCCCCGTCAACTATAGAAAGTACGTATCCAATCCTCTATTCTACATACGAAACTTCTCTAATGGACTTTTTTGTATTAATTAACTTACTTAAATGTATACTTGTGTTGTACATTAATGTACGTAACAAACACATAGATATAGTATATATGTCAATTTTAGATATGTAATTGTCGTCTATTTAAAACATGATCTTTGTTAATGGACCAACTCAACCAAAAACTTAAACTGATAGTTAAAGCCTAAGAATATGCTTTATACTCTATCAATCTTTTACTAATGCGTGTGTTTGACATTATCGCAGGGTGTCTTGTGGAAGGCAAGGAGGGATTAGATTTCAATTCCAAGGGAACCCGTATTGGTTGCTAGTGGTTGTGTTGAACGTGGGAGGAGATGGAGATGTATCCGAAATGTGGGTAAAAGGTACTCTAACAGATTGGATTAGCATGAGCCGGAATTGGGGAGCTTCTTTCCAAGCATTCTCCAAATTAGGAGGCCAACCTCTCTCTTTCAAACTCCAAAATGCAGCCGGAGAAACTGTTTATGCTTATAATGTTTGCCCTACTTACTGGTCTACAGGGCAAACTTACGAAGCCAATACCAATTTTATAAACTAAATACACTAACCCTAAAAATTACATGATATAAGAGTGATAGTCATAGACGACCATTGTTCACGTTTGGAGTTGTAAAAATGGTGTATTGCTTCTTACATATGTAGCACATTCTTTAATTTCCCTATGTAGTTGAAGAAGGCTGGCTATTCATCATGTTCTTGCGTGTTTTTAATGAATTCATACAATTAACACTTTATTCATGATTCTTTTTATCAAATATTCTACAAATTTTGCCTTATATTACCCAAATCTGTTCCTATAATTCTTCGGTGTGTGTGTGTAATGGAGCAACAACTATCTTTCTCAGAGAACATAAATATGTTACAGAATATGATATAATACCTTTAATTGTTTACTTGATAGTCAGTAATAAACAACAAAGTTTGGATGCCTATAAGACCAAACGAGGTCATATCTTCTTATATTTGTTTGCTTATTGCCATATATTTCGTATCCGGCCTTAATTTCGTACGAGCATTTGTAAAAATTACGAAAAATTGGATATTTAAAAAATACATCCTTGAAACCAATCAAACAAGATCTCATTCGATAATGATTAGACCACTTCGTTCTTAGATAATATTCATACCATACTAGAAAAATTTATACATTTCAAATCAGAACTGGCCAACCAAAGAGAGAAAATAATTCATGACAGCTTGATTCCAACACTCCAATGATCAATATAATGTTTCACATATTAAAAACCCTTAGGTATTAACCAAATGGAGGTACTGTATCAAGGTTTGCACATACTGTACCAAGAAAAATACCAAAATAACTTAGACAACCATGAGTCCATGATCAGTACTCAAATATTTTACCAAAATGTGTACTCTTAGTACTAAGTTTGCATTGCTAACCTTCTCATATGATCACACATCACTTTTGATCTCATTAACCATGTTAACTTAATTCGAATCTAATCTAGCAATGTCAATTTAATTATGAATACAACTTTATGATTCGAGTCTAGAAAAATCCTACTGTAATACGTAAAAAAATCTAGTTGTCGTTTGATTGACGAAAAAAACATAGAAAGTTGAAATTTCTAGCTAGGAATTTAAATACTTGTGTGGTGTTTAGTCGACAAATTTATGAGAAATAGAAATTCCTTGGAATTTTAATTCCCTTCTCACAAAATGGATGAACTTAATTATCTAGAGAGACCTAGGTAAGTGAAACTTCTCAACTTCTCATAATTAATCAAACATATTGTAGAATTTTAAAATGCTACTCGTATTATTCAAAAACCGAAAGAGTACTTCATATTACACGGTGTGTCTTATGTGGAGTACGTGTAAACTAAAAAGCAAGTGAAACCCAAACGGAAAGATGACGGTTCCTCCCAAAGCTTGCCCTGTAAGTTTATCCAACACTTGAAAAAGCCCTTCATTTCCGCAATTTCCTCAAACTACAGACCCCTCTAAGCAAATAAACTAAAAATAATTCACTTTGGCGCTCATCCTCTTAAATGGCGCTTTTTCTCCAATTCAACTTAATTATCCCCAAAAATTAGGGCTTCTTCATCTTCCATCTTCTTTCTCTCTCCAAAAACCTCTCGAAATTTCCCCAATTTTCTCTCTCCTAGGGTTTTCAATTCCAGATCTCACCATTAATGGCGATTAATCTAACAGAAGGAGCAATCGAAGCGATGTGTAATGGCGACACTGAGCTTAAACCGTTGCTTCAAGTAGCCGATATTCGACTTGTTAATACTCAAAATCCGACCAGTGCGACTGAGCGTTACCGCCTTTTGTTGTCCGATGGTTTGCATTTGCAACAAGGGATGCTTGCTACTCAGCGTAATGAACTCGTTAAAACCGGGGCGTTGCAAAAGGGTTCTATTATTCGATTGATGCAAGCCGTTTGCAATGTCATTCAAGGCCGAACGTTAGTATCTTAACTCTTTTTTGCTGTTTTTATTCATCTATAATTGATGTTAATTGCTTTATAATAATTTGATTTTGGAAGATTGATTCATTGATTGTGCTTTAGAGTGGGTTTTTATTGGAATCAGGGGTGTTATGGGTTTTCTTTCATTTTATTGATGATTGTAGTTTAAATTTTTGATGTTTTTGTATCTGGTTATTAAAATATTTAATTCGACTGTTTAAGTAGGTTTTTTGAGGGGTAGAGGCTGTTTAAAGGGGAGGTTTGGGGGTTCTTTAAATTGTAGTGTATGAAGTTTTTTGAATTGGGATTGTGAGTATTAGGTGGGGGTTCTTTGATTTGGGTCTTTGTGTATGTTTGATTTCGAAATATTTTAGTGTTTTCAGCTGATTTGTGCTGGTCTTTAAGAAACTAATGTTGGGTTATTATACTTGTTTTGATGGGTATTACCTTTTTGTTCTGGTGGTGGGAAGGGAATTGTTGGGCTAGGTTTGTGGTTCTTTAGTTTGTTGCAGATGGTTAAAGATTATTTTTTTTGGTGGGTTTGGCAATCATTTGTGTATATTGAAGATTGCAAAGATTGGCTTTTGGTGGAATTGCATGAGGATATGTTTGTAATAGGCACTTAGGCAGTAACGGAATTGATGATGCTTCTAATTGGGCAAAAGGTTAGGATTGTTTTCCCTTTTGTAAAGGGCTAGAGCCTTTATAGGCATAAAATTCATTGAATCACTTTAGGATTACAACTTGAGTTGCTTAATGATTGATACAATTGACTTTCTCATTTGAAGTGATTGTATTTCGTCTGTGGTGAGGTATAGATATGTATTGTACTCCGTGAGAGTAAGTGATTGGTTATAGCTGCTCCTGGATATTGTGGAAGCAAATGTGTCATGTCTTCAAACATCTAGGTGATTATATACTTTTTATAAACAAAAGATCAGATGCAAGGTGTCTAGACTGTCTACTCTTCAAGTCCAGACTCCAGACTTGTAGTGGCATGGTTATTCATGTGATGCATTAAAATTATGATCTGGAGGGAAAGTTAAAAGTATGTTGACGAAACTGTAAAATTTTAATTATGCTCTCAGTCATTCTTAGTTTGCTGATTGTTAGTTTATAGCATCCTTGATAACATAATTTTAGTTTGCTGATTGTTAGCTTATAGCATCCTTGATTTTATGATTTTAGTTTGCTGATTGTTAGCTTATAGCATCTTTGATAACACATTTGCTGTGTGCTGGACTCTTTCTATCTGCTTATGTGTTGTTTTTAGCCATCCTTGATTTCTTGAAGATGTTAAGGATTTGGAGTGTGCTGACTTTGGCTTTTGTATGGTCAAATATTATGCAGGATTATTATTATTATCGAACTTGAAGTGATACAAGAGACGTGCCCAACAATTGGTGAACCAAAGCAATTTGTAAATGATGGTGCTAGACCCATTGCTCAAGTTCCTTCCCCTGTGGGTCAAACTGGGATGATTTCTGGAAATGTCCAGCAAGCAAATCTTCAGCCACCAGTCACTGGTTCCATTCCTAGACCTAGTAGTGCAGGGGGTGGTATTTTGCAGCAGCCGAAGCTGGAACGTACTCCTCAAGCACAGTCTTATAGTGGTTCTGTTACCACCCAGGTCTCAGGACATTATCCTACGAATAATGGATCTCCCTTGCGCCCTAAACCAGAACTTGCTGCTGGGAGTACTTTAAATGCTCCTGCTGCTGGTCCATATGGAGCCTTTCACAGTGCCAAAACAGATTCCTTACGTGCTCCTCCAAATGCTTATTCACGCAATCAGCAACCTGCCTATCAGCAGCAACCACCTTCAATGTACATGAATAGGGGTCCTGTTGCAAAGAATGAGGCGCCCCCTAGGATTTTTCCAATTGCTGCGTTAAATCCTTATCTTGTTCGATGGACAATCAAGGCAAGAGTAACATCGAAGGGTGACCTTAGGCACTATAACAATACACGTGGAGATGGGAAAGTTTTTTCCTTTGATCTTTTAGACGCTGATGGAGGAGAAATTCGAGTTACCTGCTTTAATGCTGTGGTTGATCAGTTTTACAACCAAATTGAGGAAGGCAAAGTATACATGATATCAAAAGGGGCGTTGAAACCTGCTCAGAAGAATTTCAATCATCTTCCTAATGATCATGAGATATTCTTGGACACCACATCTATAGTGCAGCCTTGTTTTGAAGATGACAGTCAAATTCCTAGGCAGCAATTCCACTTCCGGCCTATCAGTGACATTGAGGGCATAGAGACCAATGGTATTATCGATCTGATCGGTGTCGTTTCTTCTATCAGTCCATCATCCACAATTATGAGGAAAAATGGAACTGAAACTCAGAAAAGGAGTCTTAACTTGAAGGATATGTCTGGAAGAAGTGTTGAATTGACCTTGTGGGGAAATTTCTGTAATGCAGAAGGACAGACCTTGCAAAATATGTGTGATAATGGAAATTTTCCTGTTTTAGCTGTCAAATCAGCCAGAGTATATGAGTTCAATGGGAAAGGTATTGGAACTCTTTCCACAAGCCAGTTATTTATAGAGCCAGATTTTCCAGAGGCTCAGAATCTGAAGGAATGGTTCGATAGGGAAGGAAGAAACATGCCTTCTGTTTCTATTTCTAGAGAGACAACAAGTTTGGCTAGGACTGATGCTCGTAAGACCTTGTCTCAAATTAAGGATGAGAAGTTGGGGACCTCTGACAAGCCTGATTGGATAACAGTGTGCGCCACCATATCATTTGTCAAAACAGACAACTTCTGCTATACAGCATGCCCCATCTTGATTGGGGATCGACAGTGCAGCAAAAAGGTCACAAATAATGGAGATGGGAAGTGGCGTTGTGATAGATGTGATCAGTCTGTTGATGAATGTGAATATAGGTATATTCTCCAGCTTCAAATACAGGATCATACTAGCCTAACCTGGGTAACAGCTTTTCAGGAAGGTGGTGAACAGATTATGGGCATCTCTGCTAAAAATTTGTACTATTTGAAAAATGAGGAACAAGATGATGAGAAGTTTACAGAAATTGTTCGTGCAGCTGTTTTCAATAAATACATATTTAAGCTGAAAGTAAAGGAGGAGACTTTCAGCGATGAGCAGCGTGTTAAGTCGACAGTAGTAAAGGCAGAGAGGGTCAATTTTACTGCTGAATCCAGGTCTATTTTGGAATTGATGAACAAAGTTAAATTAGGTGATTCTGGTGCCCCAGGTGCCAAATTAGAGAATGCCACTGCCAATTTTGGAGCAAACAGATCAGGAATTGGTCACGCTGGAATTAGTCAGCCTTCAGTTTCTGGTGTGAGCTACGGAACAAACTCTGCTATTTCTGGGAGAGAAGCTGGCATGTATACTAACAGTAGCCAATTGGGGAATCAATATAGTGGTGGGTACGCTGGCGGTGCTGCTGCTTCTGGAATGCCTATGACCTGTAGTAGCTGTGGTGGTATTGGTCATAGTTCAGCAAATTGCCCTAGTATTATTAACAGTCCAGCAACCTTTGGGAATCAAACAGTTCCTGCCGGTAGCAATTCTGGACAGTGCTATAAATGCCAAAAATTTGGGCATTTTGCGAGGGACTGTCCTGGTTTAAGTGCTGTGCCACCAGCTTATGGTGGTAGTAACATGGGTCCTGGTAGATATGGTGGTGGCCAGAGACAACACGTTGGAGGTTTTTAAATTTTAGGTATTAGGTGACGTCTGTACAGAAGTGTTGGCGCCGGGTTTTGATTGATACTTTATATCTCCTGGTTTAGGTTTGGCACTGTTTCTGGTGTTTTTGACTCTGTACAGCAGTCCGCTGATGTCTGTAATAACTGATACTTAGCCATCCGAGCCTAAGGAGATTTTGGCACAGTAGATTGGCTTTGCTATGATATTGTAGCGTAGTTAAGAGGTTTCTTTTTCTTACATTATTTTAGTTTCACATTTTGACTTGGTTTATCTAATGGATATTAGTTTATGTAATTTAGTATAATCTGCTTTCACTCTGTACTATATGTAACGTTTCCTAGCCAGCTTGGTTGTGCATAGTGCTTTTTGTTTTTCCTGGTTGGATGCAATTTCTGTTCTGAAAAAAGTCTTCTAAAATACAAGTCATGAACCAATTTTGATGCTTATTTCTCACTACATTATGGATGTCAATGAAATTGGGAAGCATTTACCAGCTTGAGTTTGTACACTTTTTATGGCAGTGTACAAAAAGGATACCCACGTCCTCTGTTTTCCATCAAGGACATTTGATCATCTGTTTAAGAATACGGAGTAAAAGCAATCGTTGCGGATTTAGATTTTTTTGGTAATGGAAAGATACACAAAGGTTAGGGGAGTCCCCTTTCAAGACAATTGCTCGTTGCGCAAAATTAACTTTCAACTCTTTTAAAGTTAAGAAAATTGTATTTGGTTTTGTAATTTTTTTCAATCTAGACAGATCTAATAGTGTCAATGAAAAAAAATTCCTTGGTATAATAATTATTGTTTTTGTGTATAAATATACTTGCATTCCAAATCACTTTACACAAACTTAAGCAGATTACAACTAGTATAATCTACATAGCAAGCTTTATTGATTTACTAACTCAATTACTACGTAGTTCATTATGTCTTATTTCATCTCACTCATTCTTAGAAACATACATTAGTTCCAGATGAGCCCGCATTATTGTGCTTGCTTGAAAGTGTACAAAATATCACCTGCTCATTCCCACAGGAATTAGTGATGCCGTCGTCTACACGGTCTGTACTATAGCCTGGAAATTCTTGATAAGCAGCTTTCTCAGAAGTTATAATTTGATTTTCAGTCACTGCTTTCATCCGAATTCGCTCTGCTCTTGAGCCAATTACCTGGCCTAGAATTGATGCACCAATTGTTAAGGCCATTGCAGTCTTGGGCATCAAAACGGCCTTTCTAAGCATAGCTACAAAGGGTACAGCAGCATGAACTGCAATGAACCATGACAATGAAAACTTCTGGGTGTGTTCTCTCCAAATCCCAAGAGGTACATTAGCTGCCATGCCCAATGCAGCAATGCAGAGCATCTTTGCTGGTAGAGGTTGCGGGCGGAGGTTTTTCACAAAGGCAGTTTGAGCAAGAGCAGCCCTGGCAGCCACTATAGCAGGTGGACAATGGAGCTTCATACCTGATGGTGGTTGCAGAGCCTTGGCAACTAGGGGAAGCACGTGACCTACAGCCCGATAAGACTTTGCGATTGGGCAGTTCCCACTTTGTAGCCACTCACTGCTGAGGGCCTCATGTTCTGCTGGATTTCCTTCCTAAATATGAGAAAACACATGTAAAAAGTTTTTTTTTTTTTTTTTTTTTTTTTTTTTTAAAAAAAAAAATCTCAAAAAGAGAAGAAATATCATATACTTCGTTTAGATTATCAAAAGAAATGACAAGTGATGCCATGTACGAATCATATAGTTTAGTCGTTCATGGTTTTCCTGGAAGTATAAATTTCAATATGCCCACAATTTGTTCTTCAAGAAAAACGCAATGACTTACTTGAGAAAAACGATCCTTTTTCCCTGAAGACTCGGATTTCTGCTTCTGTTTCTTCCATTTGTCAGATAAGAAATTGAAACCAAATGGGCCCCCAAGTCCAAATGCTGACAAACTAATCGTGGCTGCCTTTGTAGCCAACGGATTAAACATCAGAGAAGATTGGGGTTCCAAATGATCATCAGCATGAAAACTTGGCCTCCTTGTGAGTGGGACAACCCCATCCTTCCCATGGAAAAGGTTGAAAGCCAAATCGAAGTTTGGACCATCTTCAAAAATTGGACCCTTGGATCCAGCAGCCTGCAGCAGTAGAAGCAATTATGATTTTCGGAAATAGCGAAGAGAATTGACATAGCTATGAAATAAGCAATACTGTACCACCAAGTAATACGTAGTAGATAGCTAAGAAATCCTGCAAATTTTCTAGACTAGAAAACCACAGACAAGAGACACTGGATTAGCAGTTTAGCACTCACTGGAACAGGAAGATTCACATGTGCGAATGACAAGTTTGTGGGTTTGCTAATGTTCCTCAAGAACGGACATTGCTGGATATCTTGTTCATCGAAGGGGCATTCAGATGACTTCTCCTTCATTTTGTTAAGAAAGAAGTCCATAAAACCTCTTGTGGATTTGGCCTGCAAGAAGAGAGATTTCCGTAAATAAAAGCTAATCAGAATATGACATTATGACATATTAGCACCGACAAGGCAACAAGCAACAGAAAGGTTATGGAGAAATGCGCAGGATTGTCTTCCATATGCGCTGGATCAGTAAAAAGTTCATATCGTTAGGCTGCTTCAGGTTTCTGCTACAATTATACTTAGGAAGCTGGGGCGCTATCAATATTGATAGTAATCAAAGTATATGTCATTCAGTTAGGCTATCAGTGGACAAGAGTATTTTGCATAAACCTCTACCCCAAATCCTTTGAATGATTCGTAGGTTGTTTATTTTTAATCAGTCCAGAAGTTTGAGTAATTCCTCCAGTCAAATTTCCACAGAGAAAGATGGCATTGAGACAACTTTATACCTCCATTCTAGGAACAACAATTAACAGTACTTCATAAAAAAAAATTAAAATATCTTTCTGTAAGAATGTTAAGCGTCTCAATTGTGATGGATGCTTAAGCTCATTGCCTTTGAGTGTTCCATGCCATGATGCCAATGTAAACACAGGCAATTCAGCTAACAGTATAGCCATCAGCAGTTAAAAATTGTTAATTTAGTGCACATATCATCATCACTAAAACATAGAAATGTTCATAAGGAATCCCCTATTACAATTGTTAGCATGTACATTCTACATTCATGATCCAACAAGCTTCCTAGTTCACCAATGTCTCTAACTAACGGGGCTCTTGATCACGTCATTTTAAACGGAATGTAGCATGTGCAGTTGTGCACGCTACAACCAAGACTATTATTTTACACATTCTAAACAACTTATTGTACAATAGATATTGTATACCAAACAACTAGCATGCACAGATTCCCTAAGGTAGATAAACAAGGGTCCTATCTCACCTACCTTAAAACCCAAAACAAATCAAAATTTCTCAGTTAAAAAATTGGACAGAACCCCAATTTAATTTACCCAAAACACCATAATTTTCGCAGAGAAACCCAGAAAATACAACAAATTATGATTCCAAAACAACATAATCTTCGCAGAGAAATCCATTTTCATAAATACTAGTACAATAATCAAGAACATGCAAATGTATAAATTGACTAGGGAAGATTCAATCTTCAATTAAAAACAAATTAAATGAAAATACATTACAAAAAAAAAAAAAAAAAAAAAAATTAAAAAGGAGAGAAAATCTTACAGAAAAATTGGGGATTTGAGGAAGATGGAGAAACAAAGCAGAGAGAAACGTGTGGAGAGCACAAGTTTTGATTGTCCCTAATTTTTCGGGTAAAATTTCCAGTGAAGGAGAAAAATAGCAAACAATTCCTAAATTAAAAATGGAAAATTAATTTAAGGTTAATATTGAAGGGAAAAAAAAAAATTAAAAAAAACAAATTTGTTGGTAGAACTAGAAACTCATTTCTGAGGCTCTGGCCCCACTTGTGTTGACTTTTTTGGGTGGTCAACAAGCCTTTGTTTGAGTATAGTGGGCTGGGTCGAGATACAGTTTGAGTAATTGTTATCGGCCCAGAATGAAACAGGGCCAGCCCATGAGCTAATTAAGGTTGAGAGATGGGCCGGTTCATATCATGCTTTTGTTATTCACTTGTGCGAGCACCGATCTATCTACATAGTACTCCGTTTCAGCAGTTTATACACAGCTGGTTATATCATGTGGCCGCTTGAATAATCCCTATAACACTGACAAAGTAACCCCTATAACACTGATCGAATAATCTTTATTATGCTAACGGAGTAACCCCATGATAAGAATTTACGCTTCCGTTTTCATTCGTTTTATTGAAATTGCAACATTTGCAACTTGCTAACCCATGTGGTCATACAAAAAGTAACATAGAGAAAGAGATAGTCAAGTGTATATAAAGTAAATGAAAGTTTGATTAAATGAAAAAAATATGTAATTTATCAATCATGGATTCACATTCGTTTTTAGTAGACATAAATTCTAGGGAGGACATTCTATCCACAAAAATCAAGGATAACAAAAAACGTCGGCGAAAATGCTCCAAAATTGACGGTATGTATAATAAATACATTAATTAATATAATTAATAAAATTTGGACAAGTAGTTTGAAAACCCAAATATTAATCTTTCATTTTAGAGTGTAACAACTAAGATGAACATGGACTGTTTTGGCTGTTTTTGTGTAAAGTCAAGTGGATTTTCTTTGATGAACTTACTCCTTTGTTTTATGATACTTATTAATACCGACATCTTTTTATAAATAAATATCATTTTCTTAACAACTATAACTATGTGTATGACGGCAACCCCATGCATTTGTCCCTTTCTCGATCTCTGATATTTCATTTAAACTACGTGAATGTAACAGTAGTGTATAATGTATAGTTTTTGAGTTTCACATGCATGCAGTAATATTTATTGTGCTCCCTTCATTCATGTCTCAATTATGTGAAATATTTCAATATACAATAGGTCAATAATACTACTATACATTATGGATCGGATCTCAATTAGTTATGATTGGGCACGTGTCAAGTCATGCAAGCACACGTGTCGTGTGTCTCTAAGGGGTTAAGGAATATTTAAGCCTTGCGTTCAAATGAGTCGTGTTTAGAATGGGTCAAGAGCTAGAAAGTCATAGTGTCATGCCATGTCCTGTCTTACATGCAGTGTCATGTCATATTGTCATGCTAGGTGATTATGTGCCAGCACACCCTTTTATTAGGCCAAAATTTAAAAATGATGTCTATGCATGACCCATATCATGGTCCATCAATGTGTCTTTCATGCCATGTTGGGCATGTGACATGTTCTTATCGAATTGGACAGATTTTATGCCTTGCTTGACCAATTAATCCTCATTTTAATCTGCCCAACCCAGACCAACTATGTTTATTTCTACGACTATTATTGTACGAGTATTCTAAGGTAACCTATCACAAAACATAATACGCCCGCTACTATAACTACTCTATTAGAGTGATCGTAAGATGTGAGTGTGAGTGACACTGATATTACAGTAGGACGACAGTTGCGCTAACTGTGGTGGCGCATTATCAGGAATGAATGGTGGTGGCCTAAATGCTTGACCTTAAATTGTCTAAGCCAATTGTCTAATTTCAAGTATGAGTTAGAATTCAACAAGTACATGTATGGCTGTAGGACAATTGCTGTGATTGGTGTAGTGAGGGGAAAAAAATATACATTAATTAAAATTAGGTGGACCTCTTATCAATAATTTAATGGGTCATTTTCAATATCTTAATTAGCTTTTTTTTTTTTTTTTTTTTTTTAAATAAATCAATTCAAATATCTTAATTAGCTTGTATACAAAAAATGAAGCAAATTGATCAACTACCCGTATATAGTAGAATGTAGATGAATCGGAGCTATTCAAATACAATCAATCGAATTAAGTCACATGTAATCGGGTCCTTTCCACCCTACCAAATAAAGGCCATGGGAATTGCCATGTGCTTTGCTATATAGTGAATCTTAAAAGTTTTGGGAAAAAAAAGAATAAAAAAAACATATTAAAACTTAAAAGTTCATTTCTTTAGTAAAATAAGGGGGTTTTTTTTGAAAAAAAAAAAAAAAAAGTATATTTTTGTATGTTCATCCTACTCAATGCTCTTATACTTTCGGAACTGCTCAATGCTCTTATACTTTTAGATGTTTTTTTAAAAAAAATTATAAATTTTTTAAACGGGTTCAATTTGGATGTGGTTTGAGGTAAATATACTAGGCTTCTGATTGATAACTTAAAAGTTGGAAAATTAATTAATATGATTAGAAACTGTTAACGCTTCCAAGTCCAAGTACTTAGTAGAATGCAATTTAGTAGTGCACTAGCGAGTAGGGCAACATTGCATTTTGATCCTTTGACTTTGAGCTAATTGATGTGACAAGGAAGGTCGACTGTGGTCTTAACTATTATTACTCCACATCTATCTGAAACTAACAATTTATTGAAACTTTTACGAGTTACAAATTAAATCAAGATATACAAGTGTAAATGTTGCTTTAAAATTAAAGCGAGTACTATATAAAGATGTTTAAAAAAATAAAAAAAATCATATGTTCACCACCGCAAACATACGAGCATAAAGTATATATGGAGCAAGAAGACTCTTAATTCTTAAAGCATTCCCAACAATGAGAAAAAAAAATGTTAATGAGCAAAATTTTGGGTAAAATTAAAACAAAAATGACTTACATCAATGAGTAAAAGCAAAAATGCTCATGAGCAAATGAAAATTGCTGGATGAGCATTTTTAAAGATGAATAGTAACTATGTGGGGTCCACAAGACAAGTAAAAAAAAGAATAAAAATAATATAGTAGAGAGACATGTAGGAGGAAATTAGTAAAAGTAAGAGAGAAGATGTAGTAGAGAGAGAATGGTGAAGAAAGTTTTTTTTGATCATTGGTGAGATAAAAATATGATCACAAAAATGCTCATGAGTTTAGAAGAGAAAGAAAATAAATAAAGAGAGAATAAGAAAATTAATTTTTTGCTCATTGTTGATAGTGCTCTTATAGCTTAAGTTTTCATTCCTTAAATTTGCAAGATATTTTAGATATTGTGAAAAGGTTCCACTATATGTCTATATACTATAACCACCAACATTATTGTGTTAGTGTACGAATTATTTAAGTATCCACAAAAGTCAACTTTTTTATTTTAGAAATAAAAAAGAAGTCCAAGTGTCAACATGCAAGACGTAACCATTGCAATAAGTATGCAACATTGGTGATGAGTACCATGATAACCATCATGTATCCTCCTCAATTCCTCATGCAAATATTTATGATACTAATTAATAAAAATGTTCTTTTCAAATTATTATATTTTCGATAATAGGGATAAATCTCAAAAAGAAATATTAAAACTGATTAACAACTAATAAACGTGTAGTATTAACACTCTCAAACGAATTAAGTGTGTCACACCTCAAACATCCTCGTCCAATATGTTAATTGGTGTATTTGATTTGATATTTAATTAATGTGATTATGTTGGCAAATGGCATTTAATTTCGTAAAATTCACGTTGTGGGATGTTAAGTTGCATTGGCAAGCAACAATTGTCTCTTGGTTGGAGTAAATAAGTAATTTTAGGTCAAAACCCATGATTTATTACCCTATAAATTCTTAGTTCATTGTTTTTGTCAAAAACAATCATTAGTTTTGTTTACCCGCCCCTTTGTGTAAGGGTGTGGTTAGACTATAACTATAAGCACCACGCAAAAAAAAATATTTGCAAACTGTAAAGAAATTAGAAAAGTTCAAACTTACTGATGATTTGTCAACCTAATAATATTCTCCCTTATGAGTTTGGATTTATTGTGAGATGGATATATATTATCGAACAATTCTAATACTCTCTCCATTTTATAATGTTAGTCCCATTTATGTATATCGATGCAAATTTTTGATCGCAAATATCTTTAATATAACACAAACAAAAAATTTAAAAATTAGATATTAATAAAGTACTCATCGAAACGAATAAAAATTCAGAAAATTCTCTCTAATAATTTTTAATAGTCAAAATATTCTAAATGGGACTAACATTAAAAAACGGAGGGAGTAACTTTTTAAAGACCTTGACTTTACACATTTAGATTTAAGTGTTTTGTACATTTTATGTAAGTTTTTGAAATTTTCATACAGGTCATTGTACACATCAATTTTGAAATTTTATATATTGGGTGAGTGAACTCACGGTGAAACAGACTCACTCAATACTTTGTGTATTCCACACTACTAGTTTGAAATCGCGAGTGAACCTTTTAGTTATTCAACAAGGTATTCGCAATATTCAAATTGAGGGCGACAACCTTTTAGTTATCAACGCAGTTTAAGGTATTTGGTTCATTCCATGGGAGATCGAGCACATTATCTTCGATATTAGAGCTCTTCTTTTTCAATTTCACAGTTGGAGCATTCACCATATCTATCAAGAGGCGCATATAGCAGCAGCTTGGATAGCAAATGTAGGTCATTTAGTTAGTGACAATATGGATATCATACCTTGTAATAACTCTACTTTAATTCTCATTCTTTCTTCAAATGCATTGGGAATTCTCATCGTGAGGAGGGTTTCCTAATTTTTCCCTTTTTCTTACCATAAAAAAAAAATATATATATATATTATAAAATAAAAAAAGTGTGAAATCACGAGTGAACCTTAAATAAAAATAGAAATACTACGTGATTGATCGATACTTTGATAAGATAGATATGTGGTACTCCGTAGTGTATAAAATGGGTGATATTGGATATTATATGGACATTACTTATTTCTATTTAGGGGATCCGTATAATGTGTTACGGAGTAATTAGGAGTATATAATCTAATTTGTAACCAAGGGATGATCTAAAATATAAAATTTAACAGTATTAATTAGTTTTTATTTTTTTTCTTATTTTCTATATAGCTATGGGGGGGGCATGTCATACTGGGATGGGTTGATGACTTTTCAAAAGGCTAAAATATAAATTATTTTATGGGATTCTTTTCTTCCTAAGCCTATATTGGCATATATATTGTGTCACATGAAGCTAAATAAATTAGAACAAGCAAAGACAAAATTCATCAACTCGTCAAAAAAAAAAAAAAAAAAAGACAAAATTCATCAACTCGTATGTAACATTCAATTGGCTGAGGAGTGGATTGTCGGTGGTAAGTGGTAGCATTTACTATTTTACTGTATTAGATTGGCCAATACAAATTACAAATAAGGATGGCTAAAAAGTTAAAATTGTGATTTATTATACATACTAACCCTAAATTTTAAGTAATAGGTCAAGAATTCATTATTAT